TTTTCATTAAGTATAGACCAAATAGACCATAAACATTGGATTTCTCGTGATTTGACAATTTACCTGGTCATGTTTAAAATTTTGTAGCATACCAAAAAGAGCTATTTTATCGTATTCATTTACTTTGGGAGTGCTTTACGTTTTCGTACTTGTTCTTCGTGTCAATATTCTAATTAAAAGTTGATCAAGAGTGATCACGATTTCATTGTATACATCTCGAACAGTTAAAATAACTTATTATCATCAATCATGTCAATAGTTACAAAAAAAAAAAAAATAAATAAATGTAGTATACTTTCGGCTAGTATACTAAATCATATATATATATATATATATATATATATATATATATATATATATTTCTAATGAAATTTGTTTGTAACGATAGTTTTCATTGGACGATGAAACATATTTTGAAGGGTTAGATTCCACGTTCTACCAGTTGGTAACTATAATAGATAGAGAGAAACTTTAAATTGAGAAAAAAAAAATGATCATCACGACAAGATCGACGAATAAGTCTGATGATCGAAATCGTCAGTTGACTCCTTGTTAGAGTTATTGTCCTTTGATGACGATTTTTACCATTTTTCATTTATGGCTTTTTTTTTGAAGCTAGATAAATTCAATTTGCGACAGTAAAATCTACGTTTTACGAAGGCCAAGCTTAAGATACAATACAGTTATCTCCTAAATATATTTGTTCTGTTCTAGGAGGAATAATGTACTAGGTATAAGGAGGAATAATGATAATGTCTTTTTAATGATTCAACTTGTACCTACATTATTCCTCCTAGAACAGAACTAATATATTTAGTAGATAACTGTATTGTATCTTAAGCTTGGCCTTCGTAAAACGTAGATTTTACTGTCGCAAATTGCCGGATGAAAGCATCCCAAATTGTCTATGTGCTATCATGCCGAATAAGTCAAATGCTGGCCATTCTAACTGTGGGTTGCTTGTCTCCCAAAGTATCTGAATCCTCTGATGAAACGCATTCTGTATGATTCTATATATGCTGACCTGTATAGCTAGAGTTTATATAACTAATGTCGACTTCACCAGGAATGCGTCTATTTCGTTCACGACGATTACATCATTATCACAATTTTGTTTTTCGGCCTATAGAATGTAAAAAATAACGCTAGTTTATGATTTCCCATCATAATTCGGGTTGTGAACATGATCTCATGAGGAAACATGAGATTATCAGAATTCATTTTACCGATATTTTTGAAAGATAATAATCGGCATCAAAACAGAAAATCCTTTATTCTTTTGTCAGTAATTACATTTTCTTTAAAAAAATCTAATGTAAACTATACTCATGCACTATTTTTCTGTGTTAATTGTAGCAAATTCCGCCTCACATGACGTCATTTAATTTTTTTTTTGAAATATTCGTGAAGTGGACATGGTGGCGTTGCTGTACAAGGTGTAGACAAAGACGCTTCTTTGACCAATACGCTACAATTTATTATTATTTTCACATAACAAAAACAAGTTAGAATAATGGTAATTCAGGTGAGTAAAACTGTCAGTGACCGAATTAACATTATCTAGATTTGCATATTACACCTATATTATTTTAGAGTCTCGACGATTTTGATAAGTTTTGATACTTGCGTATGTGCCAAAGCTTCATTAAAAAGTCTGCTATTATCAAAAAATATAATTCTGCTTTCACCATTACAGTCCGCAACAAAAGTCTTAAATTTGTCTGGCAGACTTTCAAGGTACTTAAAGCGCGACAACCCTTTAGGTTGCAGAAAATCAAACCCTGTAAAGACTATAATTATCTTATCTATTAATTTTCGCAATCTTCGGTATATGAGATCGATCACTCTTGTCTCTTGATCCAAATTGGTTTTTGATGAAATGATATACAGATATGCATGAGGTTCCTCTCCGAGTTGTAGGGTTACTGAGTTGATATTTTTCACAACGTTCACCTTGACGTCTTCCCTCGCCAATTCACCGATCCTAAATCCAGGAGTTTCTACGATTTTAATTGTTTTCCCACACCTAATTGTTCTATGAAGAATATTTGTCGATGTGTTGCTTTTAGTTAAACATTGCGATGGAAATTTAGCTTCTCCTAATATCATATCTCCTGTCGAGCTTTTACCACTTTGTTTAGTTCCAAACAGGACCAGACGGAGTTCGTCATTATCTACAAGTGAAATCTAATATTTATAAGACTTCATATTATTCTCATTTACTGAAATTTTTTTAAAGAAAATCAGAAAATACAATTGATCTGTGTATCAACTTACCACCTTATGTTTTTCGTACGGTATATCTTCACTTTATTAAATTAGGCTCTCCAAGAAAAGAGTTGTTAATTGGCCGATCTAGGGGTGGGGATGTCCTGTAGTTGGCACACATCCCTTTTTGTTATTTTTTTTTTTCGAAATCATGTGAACGTTTCATTGTGATCCGGGATTGAACCCCCTCCCTCTCCCAATATGGCTGGATCCGCGCCTGATGTTTCTTTTTTCGATATTCGTCCCGAACATACATGAAATATTTGCCACTGGACTTTAAGGAACTAATCATCAATCAATCTTTTTGATAATTTATAACAAACTGTTTAAAACCCGCCTTGTACATATATGTATACCTTATATTGTACACATATAAGGCAAGCTTTTAAATGACACATTTTATGCGTTATAGTTCGTGATAGTGCATAGTCAATTTAGATTTCCATATTCAAATATCAAAGAACATACAAAATGGATTGTATGACAGCTAAGGATATGGAGTCTCCTTGTATATATATCGCATGGAGTATTTAAGATTTCCTAAACCTTAAATGAGTAAAAGATCTTATTTATGTTTTTTATTGTTTTTTTTTTTTTTTAGCTTAAACGATTTGATACTTCAGGTACACTCAATATCGAGCAATCTTTATAAAGGTAACTCTCAAAAAACGTTTCAAACGCAATAAAAATCAGTGCGTGTTATATTCACAGTGAATTTCATGCATAATTCTTTTTAGTTTTATATTACTTTACTTTGTGAATTGTACCAAATGACATGCATGCATTGTACCCAAATGTTACCAAATTCTAACTCATTCAAAAGGTTAACCGCCTAAAATGCTGATATAACTTGTTTCCAATTTACTTTTAAAAACCACAACATCACAAGTGTAACAGTAGAATATAAGTATTTTTTTTATTTCAATATTTGTCAAACTGTACCTTCAATACTATCTGCAACAGAATAACTAACTGCATCTGAAATATATATTGTTGTATTCGGTTTAACGATGAAACGGGAGTTGTAAATGTATATGATTTAAAAAAATATATAACATTATTAATATACATATAAACAAGAAGATGTGGTATGATTGCCAATGAGACAACTCTCCACTAGAGACCAAATGACACAGAAATTATCAACTATAGGCCACCGTACGGCCTTCAACAATGAGCAAAGCCCATACCGCACAGTCAGCTATAAAAGGCCCCAAAATGACAATGTAAAACAATTCAAACGAGAAAACTAACGGCCTAATTTATGTACAAAAAATGAACGAATAACAAATATGTAACACATAAACAAACGACAACCACTGAATTACAGGCTCCTGACTTGGGACAGGCACATACATACAGAAGGTGGCGGAGTTAAACATGTTAGCGGGATCCCAACCCTCCCTCTAACTTGGGACAGTGGTGTAACAGTACAACATAAGAACGAACTATAAAAATCAGTTGAAAGATGCATAACCCATCAGATGGATAAAATACAAATACTACAAATACAAGTGGACGTGGCCGGGTGGTTGTACATCCAAACAACAAAAAGACACTAAATACATATCTGAGAGTACTTGCAGTTACTGACAGCTAGTTCAAAGCCACTAACAACTAATAAAAAAATCTTAGACTAAATTATCAATCCGTACACATCCAACATCCAATGGATTTAGTGTAAAGACGTCATAAACAGTCAGAGAAAAACACGACCTTGTGCAATGCCAAGATACAGGTATCAACAGATTGTAGATCCATGAATGTGTATATGTATATAACAATAAAATTTAGTTTGCTATTAATTTACTGATAACAAAATCAATATTAGTACCAATAAAAACAATATTTAATGATCTAATTACAGTGTTGAATTGGTAACCTTTAAGAATAAGTTTATTTAAAGGATCGATAAGTTAACCAGGATCGTTTCTAAATTTCCGGGCACGGTAAACAATATTGCCGTAAAAATGAGGATGTGCAATCCCGTTTGAAATAAGTTTTGTACAGGTACAACCAAACTTCAAAACCAAATATTTATATCTGTGGAAGAATTTAGTAAAGGTTTTAAGTAATTTGTGGTAAACGAAATCCCTGGCTTAATAATTTACCATGTTGACCTATAATATTTTACTTTTACAAATTGTGACTTGGATGGAGAGTCGTCTCATTGGCACTCATACCACATCTTCTTATATCTATATGTTAAGAAAAAAATGGATATGACAATGAATAATTTCTCTGTTTAAGAACTTTATGACTTTTCGTCCGTTCTGCATACCATTAGAAAATAATTCTATTTAAGATTTCATGTAAGTTTTATAAAGTAAAACGCATTGGTCGCCGATTTATCGATGTATAATATAAGGAGTCAAACATTCCGTTATCAAATTGATTGTTTATCATATACAAGATAGTACACGAAGTATTGGTTATAACTAAAAAAATATTTCGAATATACGTTTAACTTTTAAAAATTGAATTGTTTTGTTGTTTTTACCATTAAAGCCCTCTTTTTAATTTTTAATGACATAAGGTTAGTAATTATGACAATGTTTTTCTTGTTTCCATGCATCTAATGCAAATAGCATTCTAAATTTGCATTTTCAACTTGTTCTCAAACTTGTCCAAACTTATTCTTTTTATCATCGAATTAAAAAGTTGCAGATTTCATTTTTGATTTTTTACCATGATTATAGTTTTACAATGACATAATTTCAGTATATTACCTCGTTCGATATACCTATACTCAGGATTCGTAGCTACAAAACAAGATTTAAGAAAACGTAAATGTATGCACTTTATTAATATATATTTACATTACATGTATGTTTCATTAGAATTTTGATTGGCTAACAATAATCGCCAGTCATTTCAATTTCGAACTTTATTTCCGTATAAAATACAGCAGCTACATGTATGACTGTACTTGCAATCCGTGACAATGTTAAAATAGTGCAATGAAAAATTAACAAGATTACATGTTATTCAGGTCTCAGACAGGGTATATAATGTGACATTCCCGGCTTAGGGGTTATTTCCCCTTCGCCGTACTCAGACAGGGTATATAATGTGACATTCCCGGCTTAAGAGTTTATATTCCCTGAGCCAAAAGTTGCATATTAAACTTTTACAAATTAAAAGAGAGAAGAGATAACAATATATAGTTTTTCTTTAATTTTTTTAATATGAATCATGACTGGATTTGTCTAGATATACACCAATTAAAATCTCAGTTTTACTTACCCTTTTGTGTCAAATTCGTTCGTTGCGTTTGAAATGCAGGCTTCTTTTCTGATAATAAAACAGAAAATTTACAGTTATTGTCTTTTTAAAAAGTTTTGTAATAATTCATTAACAAAAAGAAGTAATTTAAAATTTAACGTTGCTGTCCGAACATTTTTACTTTAAAAGTTATGAATGAGATTGTTGTACAGCATAGGAAATCCCTAAGGCTAATTGAGGTATGATAATTCCTGACTACTCGCATCAGAAAATAAATTCAGGCTGAAGCGGGTATCCTTTTACCTCTAATATATGTATGAATACAGAGTCACGCCCGACCGGAATTGGAACGTAAAATTCGATATCTCACGAAGGGAAAATGACACGCTCACGGAACTTCAAAACCCTTTTCGAGGAGTCTGTAGGTGACCCATAAGATCCCTTCCGAAATAGCCTTGTTTTCCAGTGACAGTCCAAATTTCCATTCTTTATCTCACTCGTCCGCTCTGCAGAACCTACAAATCAGATTATTGACAAATTGTTGTCGTCCTGAATTTTCATGAAATGTTTGCCACTGGGAGATTATAAATTGTTATATATACTTAGTCCTTTAGTTAGAAGTTCAATGATTAAGCTGTTGTGAGATTTTGTGAGATGTTTTACACTAGAGATTACCCATACCGTATAGTTCTCGTCCTGTGGGAGAAGATATGATAAAGTCATTTGTTTACCTATTGGAATAAAAAATAGATGATCTCAATAAAACAAAAAAATCAGAATTTCACGAGAAATTTGTCTGTCACGTATCAGTCATTATATCTTTGTATTTTATCTTACATTTACAATTTTGGTTTAGGCCTAAAAGTCATATGAAACGAGTTTCTTGTTATTTTGATGTTATCGAAATTACTGTACCAATGCATGCACATATATTTATATATTTTATTCAGTGATTGTACCGTCTCGGTAGTTTCGCTTAGCGTGTAGCACGTTAATAATCAGACTCAGCATGTCGGTCTTGTACAAAACAATTCATATAACATTAACATGTTCTCGTCCTAAATATGCATGTTAATTTTACACTGGACGTTAAGCAGCCATTCGTCATCATCATTCAGTAATAATTGACCAAGAGCTAATTAACTTTCGAGTGTGTTGCTGAAGTTTACCGGATCGTGATAAAAAATCAACACAGAGCCAGTAGAACTCGTGACAAATGAAGGAGTGATAGAACCATGATATATTTTTGTTTTATATTTTTATGTGTGAACAAAACAAACCGACACAATAGGTAAAAATGTCAAAAATGTTGGGTACAGCAGTCAAGATTGTGTTATAATCTTAATCACAATAAAAACAAACAAATATGTAACAAAGAAACACAAAAAGGCATATAGACAAAGCACATTAGCAAAAATGAAAGAAAAGAATACAAAAATTTACAATAACACAATGATGGGATGTACAAGTACAGAGCCACGTCATATGTAACAAAGAAACACAAAAAGGCATATAGACAAAGTACATTAGCAAAAATGAAAGGCAAGAATACAAAAATTTACCAAATGACATTTCTGCAAACCACTGATCAGACTAAAAAAATATTTTCATTTGTAATTCTATTTTACCTTTATTTTAAAAGGATTGAAAAGTTATAAAATCACGGGAAGTTGTATGATTGTCAAATTAGACAACTACCCGACACCGTCAAAATCATGTTCGCTGATCATTTGCATGTTTTCGACTTTTTGGCAAATATTCGGAATCCTCTGGTTTTATCATTGTGGTGCCAGTATAGTTCAATAGCAATTTTTTGAAAATCTTATAAAATCCTTATTACTTTTTTCATATTTTGTTTTGAAAGAATAAAGGTATCAATGTTAAGTGTAAGAAAAATCAAGAGAGAATCATTTCCCGCCAAATTTTTAATGGCTTATATCTCAAAACCAAGTGCACCCACCTTGCATTAATTCAGCTTGTTTTGTTCTGTTATTTTTGCAAATACTTTTTATGGCTTTAACTTAATCAACATATATTTATTCAACACCAACTGTTCTGTTGTTGAACATTTCGAATCGTGGGAAATGGTCTGCTCTACCCCTCTCTCGAAATGACTGTGTACTATTTGCTATGTCTACATGACTATTCTATTCATTTTGAAATACATTTCCGCTTTCATTTCATTACTGCAGTAATATTTGTTCTTTGTATTTACTGACCTTTAAGTATGTCTTCTTTTCTGAAATACATCATACCAATATTGCTTTGTTAACATAAACCGGTATCATATTTTCTACAATTATGCATACATGTAATATTAGCTCTTGATAAATATCGTTTTTGAGTATTTTAAAAGCACAAAGAAAATAAACATTAATGAAAAAGAAAAATATGTTTATTTTTGAAGACCACATTGTGAACTATAGTTGTTAATTTCTGTGTCATTTGGTCTCTTGTAGAGAGTTGTCTCATTGGCAATCATACCACATCTTCTTTTGTTATATATGCTAGTTATTTGTCGTTTTGTCATTGATACAATTGAGAATGGGAATGGGGAATATGTCAAAGAGACAACAACCCGACCAAAGAGCAGACAACAGCCGAACGCCACCAATGGGTCTTCAACGCAGCGAGAAAATCCCGCACCCGGAGGTGGTCCTCAGCTGGCCCCTAAATAAAATTGTGTACTAGTTCAGTGAAAATGGACGTCACACTTAACTCCAAAACATATAAATGAACTAAAATTAAAAAAAACATACAAGACTAACAAAGGCCAGAGGCTCCTGACTCATTGACAATCATACCACCCTTATTGTGGTAGAAATATGATTAGATAATCCATAACGTCATACACTGTTTGAATTCAACTACATGTAGCCACCTAAAACGCCTATTGAGTTAACATCAAACTATTATTAATAGCATTGAATAAGATGATATACCAATCAATTGAAACGACACATCAAACATTGATATAAAAAAGAAGGTATAACTGTGATTGCCAATGAAACAAATCTCCGCGAAATGACATAGAAGTTTGGAAATAGTTATCAAAGGTACCAGGATTATAATTTAATACGCAAGACGCGCGTTTCGCCTACATAAGACTCATCAGTAATGCTGATATTGAAATATAGTGTAATAAGTCAGTTTAAGGATACTAAGTAATATCACTGATGACTTGAGTATATTAGCTTAAAAAGGAAAATTCCTAGTCTGTGACTCTAAGATGCTCCAGTATGTTCCTGCTTCCAATGAGTACACTTACTATTTGTTTGTACTTCGACTATTAAATTCCCTCATGTATTTTGTGAATACTCATATTGACAAGAAAACGCACTACAGTACAGTTCTCCTTTTTTTGCGGCAAGCTAATTTGTAGATATTTCTTTAAACCGCAATTTAGTCTATGAGCTTTTAAATAACTTTCCTTATTTGTAGAACATGTAGAAACTTCTCTAAAATGCTAGTCGTTTTGACTCGGAATTAACACGCTTTGATGTAGCCATTTAACTGTTAACTTTGCTAAACATCAACGAGACGACGAAATATAATTGTATTCAATAAACGGCTAGATGTAAACATGATTGATTGATTGATTGATAATTGCTTCACGCCACATCAAAACAAAAAGGATATATCGCGGCGATTGTGTACATGAATATATTTATAAACAAGTCTAAATTGAAAACAACGTTCAAACCTATGATTGCGTTGGATAAAAACCGCAATTTCTATACGTGTGCATGCAAAACAAATTTCTTGGAAGAGGGGTTTAAATACAGCACAAACAACATTTTCCATAAGACCAAAAAAGTGAAAAAGTCTATTTTAACAAAACGCATTTTACTAGCAGATCGAACAACGGATGTTCTTAAACTCTGCTGACTGCCATTGCCGATTGCCAAATAAATGGATCACAAGATGTAACAAAATGGATCTTTAAAAATTATTAATCTCATACCAAACAGAAAACAATAAATTTGCGGAAAAGATGGTATACCGCAAACAAAAGGTGCAAAAATTAGTACACCATATCCGGATTTCGACAATTAATGTCTCTTCAGTGATGTTAGGGATCGAAACAGTATATATATACAAGTCTAAATTGAAAACAACGTTCAAACCTATGATTGCGTTGGATAAAAGCCGCAATTTTTATACGTGTGAATGCAAAACAAATTTCTTATTAGAGGGGTCTAAATACAGCACAAACAACAGTTTCCAAAATACCAAAAAAGTGAAAAAGTATATTTTAACAAAACGCATTTGACTAACAGGTCGAACAACAAATTTTCTTAAACCCTGCTGACTGCCATTGGCGATTGCCAAATAAACGGATCACCGATGTAATAAATGGATCTTAATTATAAATTTAATACTAAACAGATTACAATAAACTTGCGGAAAAGATGGTATACCGCAAACAAAAGGTGCAAAGGTTTGTGTACACCATATCCGGATTTTGACAATTAATGTCTCTTCAGTGATGTTAGGAATCGAAATGGTATTTGGAAAGCCATACAATTTACCTCAGTTGAGGATAGACTTGAATTTTGAGGAGTCAAAATAAGATGAACGGATCATATAAACCCGCAGGAAAATATAATACAAGCCCAAACGAAAAAATATAAACAATTATAAATTGAAAACAACGTTAAAACCTATGATTGCGTTGGATAAAAACCACAATTTTTATACGTGTTCATGCAAAACAAATTTCTTGTTAGAGGGGTCTAAATACAGCACAAACAACATTTTCCAAAAGACTAAAAAAGTGAAAGAAAAAGTATATTTTAACAAAACGCATTTGACTAGCAGGTCGAACAACGGATGTTCTTAAACCCTGCTGACTGCCTATATATATATATATATATAACTTACCTTAAAACTGGATGTTCATACGAAAAACTCATACTTGTAATCAAGTAATTAAACAATATCTAACTGACATGACACACATATACTATTAGCCTCTTATAATAAACAACACTAATACAAATAGAGGTTCAAACATACGAATTAAAGCTCCAACAATTCATTTATATATTCCATGCGTGACGTATGTATTTATTGAAATTAGGTTATTGACATTTGATTTGCTATCAGTATAACTATTAAAGTTTATTTATCTTCCAGAGTATAAAGATACTATCATCAAACATATTTAAACAAAGCTCAGTTGTGTGAAACATCATTCATTGCTAAAATAATATAAATCACATGCATGCACTACAACGCACATCGGGGATAAGAAATTAATTCTGATGTTAAAATTCAATCATCATCATCATCATCGTCGTCGTCGTTGTTGTCGTCGTCGTCGTCGTCGTCGTCGTCGTCGTCGTCGTCGTCATTGTCATAGTCGTTATCAATTAATTGACCATGGTACAAATGTTTGTGTAATTTAATGACTACGGTTATAGCAATATTCGAAAAAAAAAAGAAAAAACATTTCTATAGCGGTTTCAATAGGATGAATTTACAGGGTTGACTGGGATACATGTAGGATCGGAAACGCGATGGTACTCTGAACCACGATGGTCACGCTGAAATGCGATGGTTTGACGCTGAAGTGCGTTTTTGATCACGCTGAAGTGCGATGGTGGCATTGTGACGCTATCTTGTTTGTAGACTGGTTCCCGATCGCAATATTCAGTATGTTACACATATACTAATATAACGACCGGGACGGACTTTACGTTACCTTGAACTTGTTTACAACGTTCTTCAAAATCTGAGGTATTTCTAAACCAAACGCCGTCATTTGGCAAACTTTTGAATGATGGCGTCCCTGGAAACGCCCCTTCACAAGATGAATTCCGATATCAATCTCTCGGAGATGTCATTTAAATATTATAATTCAAAAATAAACAGGAACAAATAAGAATAAAAAAAAATTAAAAAATGTTTTAAATAAAAAAACAATTGTTTGATGCAAAAAAACTAGGACCTGAACAGAGAAACGAAAAGACACAATTTAAAAATTAAAAAAATTACGGACTTCAAAATTATTTCCAATTATTTATGTGTTTTTGTAAATATATATATAGGCCACGCTGCGCAAAACAGTAAATAATCTTCAGATCAATGAAGGACTACTGAAAACCTAAAGAAGAAGAAGAGACTCTACGATCATACTTATTCAAACTTTAATCACTGTTTTATTTTTCGATGGATTTCCTTCAACTCTAGATTTTGTGAAACGAAAAAATTCTATATATAAATAATGTTCAAAAAGAAATAATGAAAAATATTGTTGTCAAAACTCGGACCTTAACGGGAAATTAAAATACCCGCTGAATTGACCAGATCATCTCCGATCAGATTTTTTTTTCAAGTTCTAAACCTGTTGTAGTTGAAAATCAATCTTCTTGAAATTTGATTTTTGTTATAGAAAAGGTATAATATTTCATTGAAATGATGAAGAATATTAAAAAAAGGTTCAACAAATGTTATATATTAATATGTAACATTGAGGTTGGAGGGTTGGGAAAGGGGGGTTAGGTTTATTTAATAAAAAAATTCCATACATGTAGTTCCTTCAAAAGATAATTGCTGCAACGTTTGGTCGGATGTTTTTCAGAGTTCTTCATCTAATAATCAATTTATGAGTGGTTGCCATGGTAACGGACACTCTATTTTTTGGTAGTTAAGCGTAGTAAAACCTTTAAAAAATGAGCTAAATCACTACAATTCAGAGCCTGATTTTGAATAGAATCAAACTTTTGTCAAGAATTTTCATATATAACATTGATATAACTTGGTTTAAGCTTCACTTTAGATAAGATTGCAGTTCAACCCAACTTTTAGATTGTTTGCTAAAATTTACTTAAAAACACATATTTTCAATTTTTTTGAATCATGGAGTTTTGTGAGATTAAAGTGCAAATATGTAAAGCATAGCTAGCATTGTAGTTACTAAGTTCGAATACTACTTTACCAAAATAAATAGAATATTGCATGGGACTCTCTTTAATTTTATCACCATAACAACGTATTTTCCCCTTGGAAACAGAGTAATTATTTGTAGTATAGGGACTTCAATGTTCTCAACTGTTTTTTAAAACCTTTTAGAAAATACATAGAATCATATATATACTCTAATTCTAAACTACCATCGTTAAGTATCGTTAACAACAGTTGCCATGGTAAAAAATATCACCCATAACAACATCCAATCAAAAGATATATAATATAATTTTATGCAAAAAATTACATATAATTATGTAAATGATTTTCAGTTTTCTAATGGGAATATAACTGCATGCTATGCTTTGTTTCACTCCCAGTCCTGTCGTTGCTCCTGGAGAA